TAGGCTAGTGGCCACCAAACTGTAGGATGGATACTGCAGCAATCAGTCGGTACCCTGGTGTGAAAGTGATGGATGCCAGCCAGATGAAAACTTGGCGCTGCTCTGGACATGTAATTAGGAGCCAACTGATCTAGCTTAAAGCACAGAAGCACAGCTTCCAAGCATTATTTGGACCTGCTTAATTTGACAGAGCATACATATTAACAGTGCACCCATTCAATTGTCTAGTCCCTATGGAGACTGCTCTCCATTATGTACTTCCAACAGTGCTTTCACCTTGCTCAAGCTTTTTCATGGTTTTTGGAAATACCAGTTGAGGCAATTGCCTTTTGTGTCTAAACAAATCATTTTTTGTATTCATGGTGAATTCGAGTATTTCAATCGTATCTGAGCAAGGTATGACAGAATAGACTCTGAAGGAGAAACATGGACTCTTTCTGGTTGATTCTTGATACTTGCCCACCATGGTTGTGAATGTTGACCATAATGCAGTCAACTGTATAAGGTACCGTGTACTTCTACCTCTCTGAAGAAGGCTTTATATCATGCAAGTTGAGAGTTTTATCTGACAATGGTCTCCAATTTTCACATGCTTTAATTAACTTTGTCTCAGTTAAACTTGTAATTACCTGATCACATCTGAGATGTTGGTAATCTTGGCAAATGCTAGGACTTTGACATTTTTATTTGATTTAATGAAATATTCTTTATGTTGTAAGTCCATTATGAGGTAGCATTTTACATTATAACCCTAGATTCCATATCGATGCACAGAGACACAGAGAGCATTGCTTGATAGTCCCTAACAATATACAATCATACAGAATGCTTTATCATGAGTAATGGAGACATTGACGCAGACAATCCGCCTCGAGCTGAAGTGCACCCCCAATCGGCGAAAGAAAGACAGGTGGTTACAAGCGGGTTCTTGCACGCGTTCTGCATGTACGCAAAGACCACACATGCCACAATAAATTACTTACGCGTACTCAGCGTGCTCCGTGTCAAACGCGCATATACTTGCGCGCCTTATGGCATGCCTATGTGGTGCCAAACAGCACGCCCTCTTTTGTTCCGCTCGGAGCGGATTGGGAAAGTTAATGAATCATGTTCAACTTTGCCGACTGCGTCAAGTCGTCAGATTACACCCTCACCGGCATGGTGGGTGTAAATGATGTCCCTCTCACTGAAGTACAATGTATTTGGCCCATTTTCTTACGACTGAAAATATGACACCCCGGGAACATGTGTCAACAGTAGCTGCCAATAAACAAATTACAGGGGAGTACCAGTTTGGCTTCAAGCGGTGGTATAACCTTCTTCCCCCCTAAATTCTGCACAGCATTTCTCACAGTTTTTTTGAGACTTTCGGATGCCATTTTGTTTAGTTTTCCTAGTGGAACGAGGTCACACACCACTTCTGCCACGACTGTCTGCGTCTTGACATGTTGTGTCATATGGAAACTAGGCTTTTTTGGGGCCTGGTTGGTTGTTGTCTGAGGTTCAATCGTAAGCAGAGGACCATTTCTCTCTTTAGCCATGATGTGACTTGCATGGAGCAATATTTTTATTCATCCATTTTGGGATTCACTTCACTGCCAAAATTTGGAAGTTGTGTCATTTTTTACACTGCACTTACTGTACCTGTCTAATGAAGTACATGTACTTAAAAAAATTTTATACTCCAAAAACTTGAGTTTGGGGTTTTTATTCAAAGTGTATTCTGTCCCTTAAGTTTCACGGAAAACCTTTGGGATAAATATGCAAACCTTCCTACCTTTTTGAAATGGAAATTTTGAAAACTTTCCTGTGTGTGTTTCACATCCGTCCAAACCACATTAACATGACCACTTATTCAGGCCTGATTAAGGTCTTACCATGTATAATTTGTACAATAAATCAGTTGTTGTCTCAAGTGAAAATGAGCAAAACATGCTCAGTTGTTGGCTGCGCCTTGTTTCATGTTGCAAGAATTAAATAGTTTACGAAGGATCAGTTATGTGTGACGAAGAATTCTTTCCATAATGGAGGGAGGTATTTTGAAAGGATCCACCAGTATGTTTTGAGTACGAGTAAAAGAACGACCATTTTTTTAAACAAGGAATGTTTGCGATGGACCAAGTTTTTTACAGAAAAGTTTGTTGTATTTTTATACAGAAGACAAGATTTGGTTTTGTAAATGAAGAACTTGACGTATTTTACGTGTAAGTTGCATACATTGTAAATGTGTGTCTTCGTGCTGATGCTCTTGAAAGATTTTACAGAGGAGGGCCTTTGTTATGAATAAATCGAAGTATTTGGCTCATTTTTATATTGAATCTATCAGTGTAGTGCATACTCAGGACAAGAGAGGTGCCGAAGTGGTTAGGGCTGAGTCGAATAATTTACTGTTTGAATATTCGACCTTCAATTTGACTGAATATCCGAATATTCGGTCGCACCAACCAGCAGATTGTTGATGAACAAACCGTATTCAAAATTAGTTGCAATAACGTACACAATTGTACATTATGATCAATATAATAGCTTCTCACATCTAGGAGTATCTCCAGTCACGATTTAGCAAGATTTAAGAGAAGAATACCACTTCTTGCCCTGTGGAAAATTTCTATTCCTTTTAAATTGTTTAATGAATAATTTACTTCTTAAATCTTTGTACGATTTCTGACGCTTTTCATTTGAATCTGCTTGAAACAAGCCTCCATGGTGAAATTTTTCTTATTTAAAAACAAGAGTTTCCCTTCCTTTTCATGAATTTTGCATTTGAATATTCAAATTGGAAAAATAATACTTGAATATTCGGTTATTCGAGTATTCGGCACAGCCCTAGTAGTGGTGTACATATGAAGGAACAGCTACTCTCCAAGTCTAAAAGTCTACGTCTTGAAAAATTGTATTTTTATTCCTCATTGTACCTGTTTTTACAGTGTATGTGTATTATATTAAGTTTGTACATATTCCATATATGTAAACTTATACGTTATCATGTTTTCCCAGCCTGTAAATACTGCATGGATTCATCATTAATAAATCTTGAGAAATCAATACCTCATTTGTATGTTTGCTTTAGTCAGTTTGTGTGCCGCCTGTTGTATTGATTGTTTCAAAAAATTGTTTTTCCACTGACCCCATGATCTTTGCAAACTGTCATATTTCTGATGAAGTGACTACTAATGAGACGGCAACAAGTGCATAATAAACATGCTCGCATATATGACACGATTACATGAGAGCGATTATTAGCCATCACATGATAGTGATACTCATGGCTGCCTCAGGTGTGTCTCAGGTAGCTGGCACAGAACATGTTCACCAACTTAAGATGACGGCCATAACGGATGTATTATTAATTTGATAAATGAACCTATTCCAATGATACAGTCCATCATTTGTCATTTGCGCATTGTTTTTTGAGGCAACAAAATTACTCAAAATGCAAAGCAGGGTGCCTATGAACAAACCTGGAGTTTCAGCTCAGTGAATAATATATATTGGAGAAAATGCTCTTGGATTTTTTATATCAGATTCCAAGTTGCTGAGTCCTGTTTTGAATTGCGCCTGACTTCAGCATCTTGGACATGTCGCATAGTAACGGTGCATCATGTCAATGCTTGCGTGCACTTCTAGTGATAATTTTCCAAAAGACCTTTCATTTTGCTTCCTCTAAATCACAGCTTGTGAGAAAGAATAATTTCACACAGAGTCCCATGATCATCTTTACACAAAGTATGCTTTTCAACAATAATTTCATCCGTTACTATTTGGATAGCTGCAAATGATGTACCTTTCACCGGGTGGACAGTGTTCAGTACACAAAGCCTATTACATTAAAGTTTTGGTACAATGCCAGGCAAAAGCACGAGAGTGCCCTTCAGCATTTTGTGGCTACCACTTACTCAAATCGATGTATACTGGGGGAAGCTAATCCAATGGACC